TGTAAAGTCGGTATACGGGCGAAAGTTTTACGTGACAACGACTTTGAGTGGTAATTTATGTCTGTCTCTCTCGCTCTTAGGCGGGCTAACCATGCCCGAGTGGAAGGGACGCGTGCCTCTCACTCGCTCTCATTGTGAGCGCATAACGTGAGCGGAGCGTAACGCAGTTTCTTGAAGTGTTACCCGGCAAACCAATTTATAAGACGTTGTCACGTCAAAAATAGATTGCCTAGTGGTGTATACGTTGATTGATATCAATTAGAGGCTAGTACAAACAGGTCCTAGCGAGGTTGAACGGATTTCTTCCGATAGATAGGTATAACTACTTACACTCTAGTGATAATGTTAATAAATAATCATAAAGGTATAACAAACAAGCAATCCTTACTAATATTATAAATCGGAAAGTGAGTTTGTTTGTTTGTTTGTTCCACTTTCACGCGGTAACTACTAAACCGATTGCTTTGAATTTTTGCAGACATAAAGTTAGAAGGCCGGATTAAATAATAGGGTACTTTTTAACCTTTGTAAATTTGATATTCCCGAGGGAAAACAAAAGTATTGGTATAGATGGCGCTCTGTGTATTGGTATATGTCACATAGGCTACTTTTTATCCTTTTGTGACGCGAGCGAAGCCAAAAGTAAAAGCTAGTAAAAAATATTGCAAGACATTATAAAAAGGAAACAAAAATACAAGTCTTTAATTTAAGTACCTACGAAGGTATTCGTCGATAATATTGGGTGCGTCGATTACCCGATATCTATATATATAAAAGAAAGTCGTGTTAGTTACACTATTTATAACTCAAGAATGGCTAAATCGATTTGGATGAAAATTAGTGGGGAGGTAGCTTAGAACCAGGAGACGGACATAGGATACTTTTTACCCAATTCTTTTTTTTACTTTTTACCGAAAATCAAGAACGGGAACGGGAAATATCGGGATTGCGCGTACGAAGTCGCGGGCAGAAGCTAGTTGTTATATACAAGAAATAAGATCGTAATAAATGTTTGTATGAGTACCTATAACTTCTAAACTACTGGGTAAAATTATCTTGTTGTTTGTATATAATAGAAATTCCATAAATCAACCAAAAAAGTCAGGGAAATAGCACCTATGCAAAACCATAAATGTGCAAATGTGCGGTGCGAATACATAAATTAGCTAAGCAGAAATTAGTCATTAATATTATGATTTAAATCAGTTCAATCATGCCGATGTTCAGCAGCACATCGAGTTCACCCAAACCGTCAGCTCCCTCCATTACATTTTCAACTGTAACACAACTCGATAAAGTTGAAAATAATAACTCAGGGTAGCTTGATAAGCTGTCTATAAATGCACACGTTTCTTACCGTCGCACCTGTGATCACAGAAACAATCTACATGCATAAATAATTTATATATACAAACAATTATATTTCTAATTTATGAGTTTAGAGAATTATCCGTGAATTATACATATAATTATATTATAATTCCCACATTATAATATAATAAAATAGCCTCGGTGGCCGAGTGGTCGCAAGTGCGACTGCTGTGCAGGGGGTTGCTGGTTTGATTGCCGGGTAAGGCAAAGTATTATTGGGTTTTTATTAGTACGGAGTCTGGAATTGTGCGTGGTATATGGCAATAGGCTCACCCCCTAATACATGGGACTCGTAACATAATTAGTGAAAAGTGGGTGTTACATTGTACAGTGGCAGTGCCGCAATGTGCACCTCTGCCTACGCCTTCGACGATAAAAGGCGTTATTGTTTACGACACGTTAAACGCCATGGGGGTCACCGGTGACCGGCGTTAGCGGAGGATTTACCTTCAACAGTTTTTTATTGACAGTCAAAGTCTTAAGAGAATTATCCGTGCATTATACAATCATATAAATAATAAATATAATTTCCACATTACAACATTTGACTTGCATTTCCAATATATACATGTGAAATTATTAGCGTACCTAATTTGATTTCTCTAAGATTTAATTTACCGGATAAATAACGACCACCACGTTCTTTTAAGAACGTGGTGGTCGTTTGTAGTGAATGTTTAATCATTATCATCATATTAGCCACAAGACGTCTACAGCTGAACCTAAAGCGCCCCCTAGGTCTTCCAAATTCGATTCGGAGTCGCGGAGAACCTAACGGGTTACCGGGGCTCCGGCTCGACGTGCTGGAGAAGGAACGGGGTGGTTTTAGTCAGTAAGAGTCTGACACTCCCTCCCACCTCACCCAGGCGGGAGCAGTCATTCGATGATTTTCCCCCCTTTAAAAAAAGGTCTTCCAAATCGGCCTGTATAGGTATTCTTTGTATTTAAAACAAAGAATAATGTTTTTATAACAAAGAATACTTACATAATAAATACTACAACAAAATAAATCAGAAGATATTATAAGAGGAGAAGAAAATATGTGAAAACAAGCCATTGACTAGGATTACATAAGAAATTAAGATGTTAATATCAATCATAATAATTACAAAACACCATTATCTAGTCCGCAATTAAAATAAATACCAGCTCACAGTATATATAATGTTTTATTTCATAAATCAATACAATTCATAGGAAATGTATTTATGTATAAACTAGCTGAGGCCGCGACTTCGTCCGTGTGGAATCACAACTCCTCCCCCGTAGTTGATAGCATTGATAATATGTTGACCCGACCTGTTAGTAATATTCATGCAAAATTTTAAGTAAATCCTCTCAGCACTTTTTGAGTTCATCACGGACATATATACAGACAAACAGACAAAAATTCTAAAAACCATATTTTTGGTTTCGGTATCGACTATAGATAACGCCTAAAGCATTCTTTTAAAACAAATATTCGATGAACAGTTTTCACTTTAGTACAATTTTATTATATGTATATAGAATATAGATATGGACGTATGTAAGAAATCTAGTTAAGATCTATATAAAACCGGTTTCCGATCATTATGGTCAATAAATCATTTGCAATAGAGCATGTACTTAGTAATCTTGACAGGTTTTCCGTCAATCTTAAACTGATTTCAATAATTAACTTTATCACGTGGTCAGCTGATTGGACATGCATGCATACTGTATACTAGTTACTGCCTCGTGGCTTCACCAACTGGTCGACTTCCATAAGTCATTGATGCTTTACCATAGATATGGTAACTGGAAGAGGAGATCCTCTTCCAGTTACATCAGGGTTCTAACCAGAAGCAGGAGTAAGAACAGGCTGGTTTGTAGTCAGTAAAAGACTGACACTTCCTCTCGTCTCACCCAGGAAGGAAGGAGTCTCTTGATAGAATAGAATAGAATCTTTATTTGCATAAAATGTAGGTACATAATGGTGATAATAATAACATAGTCAATGTGCCATATACATCTTGCCGCTTAGCGACATGCAAATCTTTATACAGTTCAAATACTTATCACAGAAATAGTACATTTAACAATTTATCTAAATTATAAGTTTACAGTCTATACCTCACAGATCGCTCACAATTGTAGAATTTACATGGGTTTTTTGCTAGAAATTCGTCAACTGAGTAAAAACATTGCTGACATAACCATTTTCTTAGCATTACACTAAATTTATTTGAAGGTAGTCCGGAGATAGTTTTTGGTAAAGAGTTATATATTAAGGGACCCATGTAAATACAGCTTCGTCTAAATAACTCTAATCTAGGAACCGGTAACTGAAATTCTAGATGAGTAGCTTTTCTTTTATTTACATTATTGTTAGACACAAAAAATTGAGGATTATTTTTCACAAATTTAGAAATCTCGTAAATAAAATACAGGGAACCGTTAAGAGGCTATTTGATTGGAATGCGGGTCTACATGAATCACACCAGTCAACATTAAACATTGCACGAACACACTTCTTCTGGACAATGAACACTCGTGATATATCCGAAGAGTTTCCCCATACAATGATACCGTAGCGGATAACTGAGCAAACGTATGCATGGTTATACCATTAAGGCAGTTTGCATGGATGTTATACATGTAATTTTTCTCAAAGCAAAGACAAATTTATTGATTTTTACACATACATTTGCAATATGAGTTTTCCAAGTAATATTTTCATCTACTGTTTTACCCAGGAATTTAGAGCAATGTATTTGTTCTATAACATTATTATTATATGATACATCAATTTGTACGGGCTTACTTTTCCATGTTTTAAAATAGATTACATTAGTTTTAAGGATGTTTATTTTTAACTTATTAGTATCTAGCCATTTCATAATTTCACCTAATGCTTTGTTGACCTGAATACTCAAATTTTGGGGTTCATTACTCTTTATGATAATAGTAGTATCGTCAGCAAAGAGAACACACTGATGACTTATTGACTGTGGTAGGTCATTAATGTACACAAGAAATAGTAGCGGCCCAGGATACTACCTTGAGGCACGCCACAGCCATTAGTAAGTGGAACAGAATCAAAATCTTCAATAGTATTTGTTACTTTACTAAGTTTAGCTACCCTTGTTATCTGTTGTCTGTTACTTAGATACGACTGAAACCATTTTTTTGCAGGGCCTCTAACACCATATTTTTCAAGTTTCTCTATAAGTCTGATATGATCAACGAGGTCAAATGCTTTACTTAAATCTAGGAATAAGGCACAGGATGGTTTTTTTGTATTAATATTTTCTATTATGTTTTTTACTAAGGTAAATATTGCCATGGTAGTCGATTTATTCTGTCTAAATCCATATTGTTGCGGAACTAAAATTTCAAATCTATCCAAGTATTTAAGCAATCTCTTGTACATTATCTTTTCGAATATTTTTGATAATATTGGAGTTAACGCTATTGGCCTATAATTGTTGACGTCTGATTTTGTACCTTTTTTTATTTACCTCCCTCTCAAAAAAAGTCACATTTCTTATTAATAAAACTTTTAAATCTTCTTTTGGACCGCGAAACCCCTTGCAAATATACTTCGCCATTTTATTCAGTCTTTTATCTTTCCTAACTAACTAAAAACCAATCTCTATTTGTTGCAGTCACAATCCCAGCTTTAAACTTCGGTATGCTGATGGGCTGGCAGTCTCCAATGACTCCAATCCTGCAGTCACCATCAGGACCAGCCCCAGAGCCAATAAGCGACGAAACCATATCGTGGATGGCAGCTATTACATTTATGCCCCCTATCTTCTGCGGTTTCATGGTCGGAGACCTTGCTGACCGATGGGGCAGGAAGATCACTACTCTTCTGACTGCGTTAATGCTTGTGGTAAGTTCTTTATAACTCTTTGAGATCTGATCTTTTTCTTTTTCTTTGTCGTCCCTAATAAGCTTACGGTACAACTGATAAGAAATAGTTATCGTATCGTTGTGATCTGTTTACGTTTTTGGTTCAGGAGTATAAAGTGAAGCTAAGACATGACACCACAGAAATATGAAAAACTTCTTTATTATGTCTAATCTATGCATGATGCATCTAAACACTGTTTGGTTTTTAAAAATAGCACTAGGACAATACTTTAGAAAACCCAATTATCTGTATGCTTACTCACTTCTCACTTTCATAACATTATTTGACACAGATGTTTGCATAGATAAAGTAATTAGCTTTTAAGAGTTTAAAACTTGATTCACTGATGCTAACTAAATAGTATGCCACACATATTTTTCTTCTTCATCACGACCTTAATGGTTGTCTAAGATATTGAACAAAAATTCGAACCGCATTCTAGTCCCACTACTCATATACATAGATAACACCATGTTCATAACTCACAAACCAATCATACCACAAAAGCGGTCCAAACCAATTGCACCAGATATTAGCTGACTGATGTCAGTGCTGTCGGTTCCTACAGAGATATTATGAAGACATTGTTTACTTGCAGTTACTCAGGTCAATTGCAGCTCATTGATACAGATCTCTTTTAGGTTAGATTTATGACTCAACTACTATGATACCACCACCAATTAATCGTGATCCAGGATACTGATAAAATTCATTTTTGTTTTTGTTAATTGGTGTTTTGTTTGAGTAGATGAATGGGTATTCCACCATTCGGTATAATCCTTACTAATATTATAAATCGAAAAGTGAGTTTGTTTGTTTGTTCCACTTTCACGCCGTAACTACTAAACCGACTGCTTTGAATTTTCGCAGACGTAAAGTTAGAAGTTCGGATTAAATAATAGGGTACTTTTTATCCCGGAAAAATATCCCCGATAATTGATATTCCCTAGGGAAAACAAAAGTATTGGTATAGATGGCGCTGTATGTATTGGTATATGTCACGTAGGCTACTTTTTATCCTTTTGTGACGCGAGCGAAGCCGCGGGTAAAAGCTAGTTCGGTATATATTTTGAGACGAAAATCCAAAAAAACGTTTAAAGACCCGTTATTTTTTTTTTGTTAACTGCTGTTTTGTTGGAGTAGATAAATAGGTGTTCATGGTCCATCAGTCGATATCATTCGGTATATTTGGGACGAAAATCCAAAGAAATATAGGTTCAACAAGAGACTTGTTCATTGCAAAGAGATTGCTAGTATTCGTTCCGATAGAAGTAATGCTTAGGTTAGGTTTGTTGACAAAACCAGCTTGCTACAATATCAGGACTAATCCGGACTAACAACCTCTTCAAAGTCAAAGTGAAAATCATTTATTTCAATTAGACCAGGATGGCACTTTTGAACGTCAAACAACAAAAATTTATAAGTGAAGCTAGATGGTCATTCCAAGGCGTAGATTCCTATGGAGAAGAACGAGCAAGAAACTCAATAGGTTACTCTTTTTCAATCTTCATTATGTTTTTCCCTACAAACGTATACAGGGTGTCCAGTAAATAGTGCACCATACTGTAAGGGGTGATAGCTGGGACCAATACCTACCTAAACAACCCAATATACCAGTACTATGTTCAGCGAAAATGTACGGTTTCAAAATTATACCCCATTTTCTGCATAGCCAGATTATTACTTACGTCAGCAAAGAACCAGCATCAATACTAATACTAAAAACCTCTTATTTGCCCCACAGTTAAGTTGGACCATCACCCTATTCTCCCTCCGTCCATGGGCGCTCATCAGCTCGCGAGCAGTGGCCGGACTCGCGTGCGCAGGCTGTTACGTCGTCATACCGTTATATTTGAAAGAGGTAAGTAAATCTAGCCTTAAGCTAAAAACATCTTAGGCTTACTGTCCACGACGCATCATTTGACGAATGCATGCAATCTACAAATGACGATAGGCGGATTTACATAAGGTGTGAGGTTTTCATTGCTTCTAAACAAGATGCATGCATTTGTAGTTTTGTAGGCCTATTGTAATCTGTAGGTTGTATGCATTCGTCAAAAGATGCGTCGTAGGAATTTGGCTGTATAGAAAACTACACTTTACTATGCTGTATTTTAAGAGTATATTTGATTGTTTAGTTTTGTGAACCCAATAAAAAGTCTGCAAGATTGATAAATAAAAAATAAAACTTTTTGTAAGTTTTTGCCGCCACAGTTTGCGAGGATTAAACCGTTAAGTGACCATGTTACATGTTATATGTAAATATATATACTACCTATGTTTCGTCAGATACCTACTAATGGGATGTGTCACAAGTGTGGGAGAGCCATGCTTCGGCACGAATGGGCCAGCTCGACCGGAGTGATACCAAGGCCTCACAGAAAACCGACGTGAAGCAACGCTTGCGTTGTGTTTCGTCGTGTGAGTGAGGTTACCGGAGGCCCAATTACCCTCTCCTTCCCTGAATCCCCAACGATCCTCAAACTCCTAATCGCCAAAAGGCCGGTAACGCACTTGTAACGCCTCTGGTGTTCCAGGTGTCCATGCGCGACGCCGATTGCTTACCATCAAATGATCCGTCTGTTTGCTTCATAATTTTTTATGAAGCAAAATGCAATGCATTCCTCATCCATTTTATGAGCGATACCTGATTGGTAAAATGAATTTACTAGGGGTTTTTAACATGTATTTTTTCTCATTCACAATCAAAACCTTTGCGTCAATTATTGTAAATTAGAATTAAATAAACATTAATTAATAATTGTTAACCTGAAATGAATCATTTGTATTAATGAGAAAACTTAGCAAATTTCAATTATTTTGCGTTACTGTGTGTCATTTAAATAGTGGGTATTTTAGGTAGTTATTGTAGATAAATCCGGGAACTTTCATTACCGTGTTGTATTTAAGTTGTAGACCATTATGACACAAAGAGGTAAAGATACCTCTATTGTAGGTATGTTATGACGTCCAAGGAAAGTTAGAACTCGTCATACTTTTACCTTATAATTGTTATGACGTAAGTAATCATAACATAACATAACATCACGCCTTTTATCCCCGAAGGGGTAGGCAGAGGTGCACACAGAAATAACACCCACTTTTCGCTATTTATGTAATGAGTCCCATGTTATAGGGGTGAGCCTATTGCCATATAACGGGTACTATTCCAGACTGCGTGCTTTTTTTTTGAGGGGGGATAATCATCCATGACTTCTCCCGCCCGGGTGTGGTGGGAGGAAGCGTCAGAGTCTTACTGACTAAAAACCACCCCGTTCCTACTCCTGCCCTTCGAGCCGGAGCCCCGGCGAACCCGTTAAGTCCTCTGCGGCTCAGTACATGGCATCAGCCAGCACCATCTGTGGTGGTCTGATAGCTCTTTGAGGCAGTCGTTTATTACATTTAGGAGAAGGTTTTAGTATATTAACTCTTTGAGTACCGTCATTATAGACACAATTAAAGACAATAAACAATAGGTTGCGGTCACCGGTGACCGGTGTTTGACCGGTGACTTGGTGTTTGACAGTTTAATTAACCAACTTCAAAAAATGAGAGTGTTGAATTCGGTTTTTTAAACGCAGTTTGCAAAAGAATTGTTTTCATGTTCTGTCTGCTACACAATAGTATGTTATCCGTTACTTTACCTTCTTACAGATAGCATCAGACAACATCCGAGGTGCTTTAGGCTCCTTATTCATCCTATCACAGAACCTGGGCTACCTCGTGGTCTACGTGGCAGGAGATCTCCTGTCATTTGACGCAGTATTATGGCTCTGCACTGCCGTACCAGCTATCTTCCTTGTCGCCTTCATTGCAATGCCTGAAACTCCTGTGTTCCTGGTCAAACAAGGGAAGATTAAGGTAATAATTTGAAACATACATATACACACACACACACAGACACAGCTAGAGAGAGAAAGCATTAGATGCCTTAGTACAAGTTTGTTTTACGTTTCATCAACAGCCTATAATGCTACATTCACACTCTCGCGCGAGCGGACACGAGGTTGAGGTACATTACAGTCTTATAATGCGAGAAGGACTACAACTCTTCTATAATAACGTCAATGTATCTCGGCCTCGTCTCGACTCGCGCGAGAGTGTATATGTAGCATAAGTGTCTAGTGCTGAGCAAAGCCTCCTCTCACACGGAGAAGGTTTGAGCATTAATCACCACGCTAGCTCATTGCGGGTTGGCAATTTCAAACTTATGATTAGAAATTATAAGTCCAGATTTTCTTACGATCCTTTAACCTTTGTGGTGGTGTTTAAATAATCTTAGAAAGTACTTATAACTGCACAATATCGTCACGTAAAAAGTGTTTCGATGTTTCGACCCTCATACATGAGAAGCGGGCGTCTTAACCTCCGGGCCACTACCGAGACCGTGTTCTGATTGGCTGGGTTCAATGAGCCAACCAATCAGAATACATTGCCGAATACAAATACGAAGTACTCATTACAATTACTTTAAACGTAAAAAGAACTCATATTAAGAACTTAGATCACTCATTCAGTTTTCAGTCAAGTCACTAATGTAATAAATTTAAAATTACATTACCTCTATCTACCATTACCTATGTCCCATTTTATTTATAGTACAATCATCCTACATGGCCAATTTACGGCGATAGAAGTTTTCACCGCTCCCATTACATGACTGGTCTTTGTAGGAAGCTCGTGCAGCACTGGCCTGGCTTCGGAACACTACAACAGACGACAAGGACTTGGAGGAAGCTATACAGCAGCTGGAGAGGGAGGAGGAGTACGCTAGAAGTATGAAGAAAGCCACCTGGAAGAGTATAGGTAGGCAGTAAAATAATTTAATATACAATTTTACAATAATTCGAAAAACTTAAGCATTATCTTAAAAAGAAAGGAGATGCAGTTATAGTTTTTTTTTTATCGGGACAAGCCTACCACAACCTCCCAAAACTGCTGCAACTCTGTAAGCTAGGATCTACAGTATATGCAACCATGTAAACACCGGAACACTGAAGTCCGGCGCGTCCCAGGGACATGAATTGCGTGATAACTGTCTTGGTTCCCGCAACGAATTGAATCAGAAAATAGTTATAGTTATTGAACATTGCCAGAGGATAAAAATGTGTTCATTATCTTATACTGAAGTGTCTCTTCGTTTGAACACTTTAATCTCCGAAACTACTGCTCCGATTTGAACAATTATTTTTGTGTTGGATAGTGCTTTTATCGAAGTCTATAGGCTATAAACATCACACTGCAATCAATAGGAGCTGAGCAGACCGTGTGTAACCGCGCGCTAGTACATTATAAAGCTTTTGTTATTAACACCAACTTAATGTCAGAACAAGATCAATAATAACCACGGATGTCGCGGAAGTTATGAGTCACTAATGTACCTACGTCATGGAAGTAAAAAAAAAAACATTTTAAACAAGCAACAACTTGACAGGCATAAAATATTTAATGACATCCTAAGAAAAAGTTACCGCATAAAGTTCCCCGTACTTGTACTCACGTGCACGTGAATTGCTCTCACGTGTACGCGTACTCCCATCGCGTGTACGCGTCCTCCTGTCACGTGTAAGTACGCGTACTCCCATCGCGTGTACGCGCACTCCAGTCGCGTGTACGTGAGTTCCTGTTGCGTATAGAACCATTCATAGTCATGAGATATTGTTAGTGAATACCGCGCCAATTGGGTAGTTGCCAACTAGTCTAAACTACCGAGACCCTCATTGACCTTGTCTGCACGGACGCTCGCGTTATTGGCCATGTGGTAGACCCAATCGAGGCGCTGGGGGCGCATGCTTTTGTGGCAGTGATGTTTAACTTTAGAAGGAACAAGCCGCTGCCACTAACCGTAACCAAGAGGAGCTTAACTAAAATTTGCCCTAACAGGTTTAACGATGACTTGCAATCTATCGACTGGCATATAACTGGTCAGACATGCAATATAAACGTCATGGTGGACAGGTTAAACCAATGTCTAATTAACCTTTTTGACAAACACGCACCTCTCAAGACGCATGTTATTAGAGAGAAATCGTATCCATGGATTACGGATAACCTTAAACTCATGATGAATTTGAGAAACAAAGCCTATGCAAGTTATATGGAAACTAAGTCAGAATCAAAAAAAAAATATTACAAAGACCTAAAAGCACTCGTAAGAAAATCTCTATTTTATGAGAAGGTAGCTTACTTTAGGACAAATATAAATAACAAAATTAATTATCCCAAAATCCTTTGGAATAATAAAAAACAACCTTGTTGCCTCTAAATCGTAATACCGAACTACCGTCGCACTTTACTGATCCGAATAAAATAAATACCCACTTTCTAAATGTTCCAGGAACCATGATCTCATCTATAAGTAGTTTGAGTTATTATGAGTTTCACAGATTCGCTGACAGTACTTTTGCACTGCGAACGGTTGATGACATTGATATTATTAAAGTTATTAAAAGTCTCACTTCGAATGCCGAGGGGCATGATTGTATTACTCTGAACATGTTTATTATGACACTACCCTACACCTTGACATGCTTGACAAACATCATAAATACATCAATCACCACCTCAACCTTTCCTGACTATTGGAAACTGGCAATTGTACGCCCGATACCAAAAAAATGCTCGCCTACCGTTGTGACTGATCTTAGACCCATTAGCATTCTGCCCCTGTTATCTAAGGTTCTGGAGAGGGTGGTAAACACACAACTGACACAATACCTGACCTAGGCAAATGCCATTCTTCCTGAATTACAATCAGGCTTCAGGAGGGGTCGTGGCACAACGTCGGCTTTGCTTGATGTCACTGACAACATACTGTCTGCACAGGACAAGGGCTTCTGTACTATCTTGGTGCTATTAGACTTTTCCAGGGCTTTCGATGCCATAAATTTAACGCTCCTGCTGTCGAAACTGGCTTTTTATGGCTTTGATACTCCAACTGTGAGATGGTTCGACAGCTACCTCAGCAATCGTGCTCAGTACGTCGAATTACGAGATCAAAAGGGAAATATCAATAAGTCACAAACGACTCCCCTAATAAAGGGCGTGCCTCAAGGCTCAATTTTAGGCCCCACATTATTTATTACATATAGCGCAGACATGGTAAAGGAAATTAAGCATTGTCAATACCATGTATACGCTGATGATCTTCAAATATACTTGTCATTTAAACCTCAAGACTATGAGTCTGCCACCAAAAAAATAAATAAAGATCTGGAGGGTATATTTGTATGGTCGGAAAAAAATTCCTTAATACTAAACCCAGCCAAAACCAAATTTATGATCTTTGGCACCCCAGGCTTATTAGATAAAATTCCACTGAGCACTTCCGTAAGCATTAATGTTAAGGGTCAAAATGTAGAAAGAGTAAGTGAGGCGAGAAACCTGGGCCTTGTAATGGATGAAGGTCTAAGGTTTGAACAGTTTATTCTGATTGTGTAAGAAGTTGCTTCTACCGTTTGAAAATTTTATATAAAATACGACCCTACTTGTGCGAGGAGCTGCGTGAGCGGTTGGTGGAGAGTTTGGTTCTGTCAAAACTAAACTACGCAGATACTGTTATAGGCCCCAGGCTCTTAGCACGCACCGGGAGATTAATACAAAGAGTACAGAATGCCTGCGCACGATTTTGCTACAGTGTTCCACCAAGGAGTCATGTAACACCATTTTTGAACAAACATAACGCATTAAAAATGAAATCACGCCGGAAACTCCACCTCGCCTGTCTAATGTTCGACGTGATAAAACACAAGTGTCCTCCATACCTGTACTCTAGGTTTGAATGGGTTAACAGTCACCGGGAGCGTGAGGGTAGGCGGTGTGCTCAGCAGCTCGCTATTCCTCGGCATAGAACTGCAGCTTTTCGAGGCAGCTTCCGTTACGCGGCTTCCAAGTGCTGGAATAATATTCCACCACCAATTAGAAATCTGAAAAATAAAAACACGTTTAGGTTAAAATTAAAAACTTTTATTTTGACATCCCAAATTAAATTTAACGACATTAATATTGACAATTCCTTTATCTAATTTCAGTTTATTGTTCCAATTTATTCAAATTACACTTACTTTTATATGCCAACTTGGAAGTCTTTGCGTGTTGGTTGGGTGCTCAACGTGTGAGCATTGTTTTAATGTACCTCGCCATTATTTTAATTCTCGTAATTAAGTTGAGTGTTTTAACTCGTCGAGTACCGGTTTTATAGACACAATTAAAGAACAATAGGTCGCGGTCACCGGTGACCGCTTGGTGTTTGACAGTTTAATTGTGATCATTTCGCCACTCGTAAACTATGCTGGAGTTTGGTGTCCTGTGGCCGGCGGCTGTTTCTTTGTGGGTACGCGTCGGAATGAATCAGAGCTCAGCAGAGTTGTCACTAAAACTGTCTTTGTTTGACAATCAAAAATGTGAAATAACCCCCAATTAATTAAAAAAAAAAGAGTAAACGTCAAAAGAGACTAACTCTTATAATTGCTTTTTTACATTTTGTTGTATGTATATACATGTACTATCGGTTATATATGTTATTCTATTCTCAATTTTTCACACACACACACACACACACACACATATTCAGCTAAATTTATATTATTTATACAACTGCATGTTTATTTTTTGTCTTCATTGAGGGGCGGCACCGCCGTCCGTGAGTCACTGCAGGGTGCCACCTGAAAACCAGCGTTGGGCACAAACGTCCAACTTTATGCTGAGGTGGAGGCCCTTTTGGCATTAGCACGCGCAAATTAAAATTAATATTATTATTTTGTTTATTAGATTTTTTTTTTTATTGTTTATTCAAAATTCTGTATGTATTGTATGTATTCTGTAGATGTATTTTTATTTTTTTATATTCTTTGTTTTCTGTGCGTGTAATTGCCGAATAAATGATTTTTCTTTCTTTCTTTCTTTCTTTCTTTCTAGTCCAACTGTCAAAAACGACAGTTTTCTATGAATTTTGTACGAGATTGTGTATTGTGACGTCACGATTTATTAGCGTCAAACAGCATACCTACTCATTTCTTAAAAATTGGCTTGATAAATACTAAAATGAAGTTGGTCATAAAATCAATTAATGAAAGTGTGATTACTTTTTAATATTTTATTGTATTGAACAGTCGAAATAATTTAATTTTGATTAAGTAAAGTACCCAATTGCTATAGCTGAGTAAAGATTACTTTCATACATTTTGTACCTATAGGGCTTACATCTGAATTCTACCTCTAGTGAGCAAACCTACAGATAGATTATTTTATGTAGAAACTCACACAGAAGATGAATTTCTCGCACTTCTGGGTGTCTTCAAGGCCCGAGTGAATAGGTTGCTTATGGGACGACGTGCTCCATCGTAGACCGCACCATACCACCAGGCGAGATAGCGGACTCTCCGATTGTGGAATGAACTCCCTGCCGTGGTTTTCCCAGTGGGCTACAACATGAGGTTCTTCAAGAGGGGAGTGAATAGGTTTCTTAAGCGTCAGCAAGACGCATGTAATGCCCCAAGTGTTGCAAGCGTACATAGGCCACGGTAACCGCTTACCATCAGGTGGGCCGTGTGCAATATCGTCGTGGTATAAAAAACAAAACAAAAAAACCGGTCAAATGTCGACCCATTAACTATAAAAAAAAACTTTCACAGGATATTAAATCTGTAACTGATAATGTTGATTTCATCAAGTATAACAAGATGTACAGCTTCCTGCCCCTTGAGACCTACCAGTCGCCTTTTTAACCGTAGTACTAAACAGGCTACGATAAATGTGTCATCGTATATTTCCAAAAACATGAGTCATACAAAACCAACAAAAAATAT